GAAAAAATTTTGAACGAAAAAAAAAAAAAAAAACCTTGATCAAAAAAAAAAAAAAAAAAAAAAAATTTCTCTTCCCTTCGAGCGCAAAAAATGTGCGTGTGTTTTGAAGCCATACAGTTGTTTGTTTGTTTGTTTGTTTGATGATATTTCCATTTATATCATTTGCGCGCAATTCAATTTAATAATAAACGACAACAGCAAAAATATTATTATTGCTCAATCAAATCGAATCGGGGGAAAAAAATTGGCAATGTAAAACAAAAAAAAAATCAATAATCAAAGTCCTCGTAATGATTGACGACGTATGACGAAGATGTTTTTTTTTTCTTCTTTTTTTGATATTGAATAAACAACAAAAAGACGACGATGAAATCCAAGTATTCAACTAAACAATAATCATTTGGTATGTACAAATTGTTGTTGGTGGTGGTGGTAGTAATTTCTAATTTTTTTTCATTGATGATATTCGATTTTTTTTTTATAATTAGGATTTTTTGCTATTTAGCGGTTTTTTTCTTCTTCTTCTTCGCACTTGATTCATACATATCGAATATTGAATTTATTTCGGATATATATCATTTCGGATAATCAAACCGAAAATTATTTTATTACATAAACAAACTCATAAACTCTGGATGAAACTAGAGAAAACTGAAATTTTTCTGTTTCTTGTTCGTTGTGATGAATGATTTGATTATCAGTGTTTGATGATTTATACCCGAAAACATTTTTTTTGTTTCTCTGTTTTGTTTGATTGATTGATTGATTGAATGAATCAATGAAATTTTTTTTTTCTTCTCATGTGCCTATCATCATCATCATTGACAACCGAAAGACGACAACATGCACCTATACATCAAAAAAAAAAAAATCAATTTGTCATCATTGTTGACATGAATTGTTGTTGATAATACAATTTCAATCGTTTATCATTATTATTATCATCATCATTTGATCGAAATATATAAATGGTAGTTAAACATCAAATTGTTTGGTTATTTTTTTTTCTTCTTTATTTTGAAAAAAAAACTTTGAATTGAAAACTTGAATTCCTATGTTTTTTTCTTTTTTGTGTGTGAATATTCTTCTTATTATTTTTTAAAAAATTGTGATTTGTGATGCTCAATTAGAAATTTATCTTTTATTTTTTAAACAAAAACAAACAAACGAAAATGGAAAAATTAGATACAACCAAACCAATATCATTCAGTTTTTCTGGTTGTGGTTTTATGGGCCTGTATCATGTTGGTGTTGCATCTTGTCTTCGTGAATATGCACCAATATCACCGGATACAAAATTTTTAGGAGCATCAGCCGGTTCATTAGCGGCTGCTAGTCTTGTCTGTGATATGCCATTGGGTAAGTTTGTTTTTTTTTTGTTGTGGATCAAATCGTTGAATTATTTGATTCGGTGATAATTTTGTTGAGGGGGGAAGATAAAAATATTTTTCTTTAAAAAACAAACATTACGAAACAATGTTTGAGTTGAGTCAAGTGAACAACTTGTTGCTGTTCGTTTGTACGCTCTTCGATCAGGAGAGTAAAGAAAAAACAAACAAAATTTCTTAATTTTTTTGAAATGTTTTTTTCTAAATTTCAGGATTTGTTACATATTTTCTAATTCAAGTTCCTTCTCCTTGCTTTTTTTCCCCAATCATCACCATCCTTATTTTTTTTCTTACAAATCAATCATTGGATATTTGAGAAACTATGTTTGTCTGATTTGATGATGGATGATAAGAAATGAAAAGAAAATTTAATTGAATGAATGAAACTGAAACACAGAAATGATTGCCGATGTTTGAAAAAAAGGATTTCGAACAGCGAAACAAAACAAACAAACAGCAATAATATGATTTGAATTTGATTAAAGGCCGTTAGGGAAATGTTGTTGTTTTTAAATAGGAAATTCAACCAAACATTTTAGACTAAAAAAACCGGAATTTCCGAATCTAATTTTTTTAATTTTTTTCTCTCCTTTTTAAATGAAAATCAAACAGGTGAAAGTACAAGCGAAATTCTTAATGTTGCAATGCGTGCACGTGCACGTGCACTTGGTCCATTTCATCCATCATTCGATATTAATCGTATTCTTTATGATCTCCTTATGCGTACATTACCTGATGATGCACATATTCGTGCTAATGGACGTTTATATATTAGTGTTACACGGGTTAGTGATGGTAAAAATGTAATCATTAATAAATTCAAATCTAAAGAGGAACTGATCAAGGTTAGTTGTATAAATAAATATATTTCGATCGTATGATTTTTATCAAATTAATTTGAATGAATTTTTTTTGTCGATTGTCTTATCATGATGATGATGATGATGATAATGATAATAATTATATAGGCATTACAATGTTCATGTTTTATACCAATATGGTCGGGTTTAATACCACCTAAATTTAATGGTATTAGCTATATTGATGGTGGTTGTACAAATAATTTACCAATATTGGATGAAAATACAATAACTGTATCACCATTTTCCGGTGAAACAGATATTTGTCCACAAGATGATACATTTAATTTATTTCAATTTAATTTTACAAATAATTCGATGTCAATATCACCATCAAATATATATCGTATATCAAGGATTTTATTTCCAGCCCATCCGGAAACATTGAGTAAAATATGTCAGCAAGGTTTTGACGATGCACTTCGTTATCTTCAACGTAATAGTACGTTTTATTTTCTTTCTGTTGATTTTTTTTTTTTCTAAATTTGATCTTGAATTTTTTGCCTTTATAATTAATTATTATTATTTTGTATTATACAAAATATATGTAGATAAAATATCCTGTACAAGATGTTTGGCCATACATTTTACATTGGAAAAAGAGGAAATAAATAAATATCATAGACATCATAAACATCATGCAAATTGTCGTGATTGTGAATATCGAAGGCAAATTGCCATCCTTGATTCATTGCCCGAATCTGTTGTTGAAGGTAATCAAATTGAACTTGTTTTTAGTTTTGTTTTGTTTGTTTTTTCATTATCAAAACTTAGATCGTGGGCGTCATTGATTTATTAATATTAATTTTTTTTCTTTTGTTTTCATTTTTATAAATATATAGCTATTCAAGAAGCCTGTAATCAAGTTAATAATGGAATCATTAATTGGCTATTCCGTCATCCTCCAATGAAATTATTGTCAATATTAAGCATACCATATTTATTACCGATTGATATTACAATTGCATTGTTTAGTAAAATTTATGAAAAATTACCGGATATACAAAAAGAATTGAAAGATTCATTTATGCGTTTTATATCATTATTGAAATCATTATTGGTTAAAATTGAATCAAATCGTTATTTTTATTCAGCAAAATTTACTTGTCAATTAGCAGTCAAAGAATTTGATTATACAAGTGAAGAAAATTTAACCAAAATACGTAAATCATCCAGTCATTCAAAATCAATGTTAATGAGTGATATTGCTAAACAACATCAACAGAAGCAGCAGCAACAACAACAACAACAACAACAAAAACCTCAACAACAACAACAATCACTGCTTAAACAATCATTTAGTAAAAGTTTTGATCTAAAGGATGTTGATTCAGTTAAAAATCGTAAAACATCATATGCTGGTCATGAAATTAATGTTAATCGTAATAAACCAAGAAGAAGATCAATGATTGAAATTGGTAGCCAATTAGATATGCCACCTGAACGTGTTATTTCACAGCTAAATTTTGATCTTAAATTAGATGTAAAACCCGATCAATCTAATGGAAAAAATATTGATAAAAGAAATGATGATGATGATGATGATGATATTGATGGTTCATCATCATTAGATAGTAAAGTACTTGATATTGATATTAATGAAATTGATCAAAATAATGCTATTGAAATTGCTAATAAAGCATTGAATTGGGAAAAAGAAATTCTGGAAAAATGTCATGATCGTTTAAGTAATAATGATGGAAATTTTGATAGAATGGTTGAAATAACAAGAAAAAATGATGCAGTTATGGCTTATTATTATACGGATGAAAATAATAAAGTACAATTTACTGAATTATTTAAAATTCGTGATGAAGATTTGGATAAATTGAATGATAAAGAAAATAATAATAGCAATGATGATTCGAATAGTAGTAATGATGATTTACAATATGATCAGATTACAATGTATAAAAAAGATAATGATGATGGTCTTATTGAAAGTAGTACCATACAACAATTCAACAACATCAAACATCATCATTAATCGATAATAATAATGGATCGAATGTAAATGAAAGTCCAAAAAAACGTCCAAGAAAATTATCATCAATTATTATGGTCGATTAGAATGATATAAACAACCAAATGTGTAAATCATTCACAATTCAACGGTAAAAACAAAATTTATCGTTAATTTTGAATTGGTTTTTTTGAATATCGATATCTTACGCTTATGTTTTTTTTTTTTTTGTAGAGAATTTTTATTTCTATATCCTTTTTTTGTACTTTGTCTTTACCTTTTCACCTGATATTGCTCATTCATATGTGATTTTAGTGTTTTGTTAAAATTGTAATTGAAAAGGGAAGGAAGGATTAAAATTGAATAAAAAAAAATATTATTATCAATGTCATGTCGTTTATGAATGATGAATTCAAATTCGAATGTTTCCGTTTTTTTATAATGTTCGATGAAATCAAAAGAAAAATCTGTCAATAAAATCATGATTTTGATCAAGATTATAAATTCAAAAAATTAATCATTTATCATCGAATATGATCATAATATTATTCAATTTTTTTTTTTGAAATGTTTGGGATGTTTAGCAGATTCATTTATCATCATCATAATTTTGTTTGTTTGTTTGAAATGTCCAAAACACCAAAACAACATGGTGATGGTGGTATTCATTTTGGATTCATTTATGGTTCGATTCTGATCAATCTGAAAAATCATCATAGTCATCGACCATATTTTAAAATTCAATCCAGATCTATTTTCTAATGATGAATCATTGAAAAATATATCACAAAACACTATTTTGTTTCCGCATAATCATTGTTTTTTTAAATGATATAAGTTTTGGTTTGCTGCTACAAGTCATAATTTATCATCATCATCATCATAAGAAACTGTCATTCGATGGTCAAAAATTATTACACGCTTGTTTAAAAATCAGTTGAAAATATAAGAAGAGAAACAACAAGAACAAGATTGGATAATGTATTGAGTAAGATTTTCGTCATCATCATCATCGTCGTCGACGTTTTTCCTCCCCAAATATTCGTCGTCGTCGTTGTTTGTTTTGTCTGTTTTTTTTTTTTTTTTTTTTTTTGGGGAAAAAAGGGAAAAAAAAAAAAAAAAAAAAAAAAAACCCCCAAAATTATTCACGGCCCCCCC